TCAGGCAGACCTATTCAGCAGTGTGACGGCCTGTGGGAAGAAACAGTTTGTGAGTCTGGAGGACTTGGCCTGGATGCTCCAGATGGGAAGAATGAAAACAGTCCATATGAGGAGTGAGATCCTTCTTGATGCTGAAGGCTGTCCTTATACACCATTCAGTGTAGTATGTCTCTGATCTGTGTGCACTCACTGTGCACCCCTGATAAGAACTAAAATATGGAACCAACAAACTAGCATAATGTCATCTTTCTTTCACTCATCTTATTTGTGTGATCAAAATAATGTCTACCAATATTTAGATGATGTTTTCATGTAATAAATGAGATTTTGACACCAAAAAACATTATGGCTCACATTTTGTTCTGAATCAAATATGTTCACAATCTCTATGTCAACCAAATAGATTACATCAGCATAATTACTGACAAAATTTTGTCAAATGAGAGACAGAACACAATACAAAAATGTATTGTAATACATTTAATTCATATTGAAATGATGTTCACATTCAGTGCATCACTTTGTTCAGTGTAGATAATATTTACAATTTTATTTTTTATATAATTTAACTAAAAAGTTCTACAAAAACTGATTTGCCAGGATTACTTACCATTCACCATGCGTCTGCCAGTCTACTGGATCTGTTACTGTGTGTTTCGCCACGCAGGCTGCACATGTCTCGTCTGATCTCTCATCACCTCTCAACCGCGGCCAAGAAATATTGTTGAGGATCTCAGTGAGGTTATGAAAGGATGCTAATTTTCAACTCTACCAAATGACTGTGCACATTCTCAAATGCCATTTGGCAAAGACAGAAATAGAAGGACTCTGTGACCTCTATTCAAAACCTCAGTAGCTGGGATTACAGAGCTTTTACTGGGTGCAGCAGATTCTTACATATACTGAAGAAAGTTGTTAAATTATAAATAAATCTGATGCGAGTACAGACCAAATTTTCTGTCTATGGTTGTACTATGAGGAGTAATTACAGAATTTTAGAAGTGGAAGGAACTGAGGCCTTGTTCATACTAACATGGAACGACTTAAATGTAGTTTGTCATTTTCCAGGCATGTTAACATTTTTACATTGTTTTAAAAAAAAACTGAGCAAAAAAAGACATCCGAATGTATCTCTGTGTGGACGAGGTCTAAGAACTTGGGATGAAGTTGGGAACAGCTCCTTTTTTACACAGATCGGATGGTTCCTTGCTGAAGAGATGGGTGAAAACATCACAGGAAACAGAAAAGAGAGATATGAATATAGAAAGCAGGTTTAGGGAGAGAAATGGAGCAGTCATTCTTTCAAACTTTAGTCATTCCAGTTATAACTGCAGTCATCAATGCAGGTTAGACTGCTCTGTGTCCATCATTTCCCATATTTTCTAGATGTTCACTTTTTATCAGTGCTATCTTTTGATGTGTGAAAAAGTGCTGTGGTTTTTGCCTGAGCCTGTCTGCTGGCACAAATTCTGTTGGCATGCCCTACAGTCATACCCCATGTCTCAGCTCAGCATTACCCTGATCATGATATAGAGCCGACCTTTCTCTATCAACACCAGGGCAAGGGAAAATGTGTGTGCATGTTCCAAGAAAATGCTCTTTGCTTTGACATCACAGTAGAACTTTTCATGTGTACATCAAATTTGGCGTACTGTTCTTCAGAGATGGATGAGAGGTCCACATTTGCTCTATTCTAGCTCTAGAGAGTAGTACTGTACAGCACTTGATCACCTGTCACACTGTTTAGTATTGGAATACAACCAAAATGCAGACTGGCTGGAGGTCTCTAAAGATTATATAGGAAACCTCTGCAGTAAAGTGTATTATGCTCCCTTTAGCAGCCTCATATAAGTTACACAGCTGATAGACTCTCTCACCTCAAATTTACACACATACACATACGGTTTTTCTCATTTACTGTTAGCCTGCCACATGTCTGGAGTGGACAGTGTGTCTGATGGATAGCTTTAGTGCGTGGTGTTGTCTGGTAATCCCCAGCCAGCATTCCCGTCTCTAAGAGGTGTTGTGGTGTCTCAAACAGCCAGGGAGACGTGGTGAAGAGAGGACAGAATGCAACATGACCCTCTCCCTCCCCTTTTCCACGAAAGTGAGCAACTGAAAGCATACCATAGTACCTGAGAGTTAAGGAGGGGGGATGTAACTGTTGCACTCCGCAATTTGGTATGCGTGACCAGGCATCTCCAATAATCTCCCCCCATGGTTTACATTACGCAGTAGTCTGCTCTAAGAAGCAGTTTTTTGCTCTCTGCAGTTGTGCACTTTAAATGCATTTTGCATCTCTCACTAAGAGAAAGTCAAAAGCAAGCAAAAACATGAGCCTGGCGAAAAAGATATAGGACTTATAGATGCTGCAAAGCACCACAGGAGGGCAGTGTGGGGCATTACTGTCAGGAATTGTGTAAACCAGAGAGGCAGCATTTGGCTCATGGAGCCAACCCTGCCAGCCCTAGTGGCCAAATGGTATAAATCCTGTCTCATGCCAAAAAAAAGTCTCTCCATAGACTTTCCTTCAAAATTACTTTCTTTTTCTGAGACAAGGTGAAAGAAAGTCCCCATGAAGCAAATATGGCAGCATTGAAGACACACTTCCATGGAGACAAGGCACCACTGAGAAAATCTCTTTGAAATGAAAAGGCACTAATGCTATTGAAGTCCTATACTAATCTAATAAGTGGCATCAGAAGACTGGCTAGAGTTGGGTTAAAATAGAAGTAGCACATTTATTTTTGGTGTTTTAGCACACGTTTGTCTTTAGATGAGATTGTGAATTGTCTTTTTCTGAGCAACATTATAGCAGTAGTGGTTTTGTAATGTCATAGCACTTGGCATGCACAGGATTGGTTCAGGGTTTTTTAATCCTGCTCTTGGAGATCCTTGTTGAGGCATGACATAGTTGAAATGCAGTGCAGTGGGTCCCCATGAGCAGGAACAACCCATTAACATCCATAAGTTTTCTTTGGACCACATATTCTCTGAGCCTGCATATAAGCACAAATCTGAAGTTTAACCAAATCATATTGTTAAAATGAGTTTGTATCACATGTCAAATCCAATTTTTTCCATCATATGGGATTTTTAACCAATAAACTGAAAAGTCTAATTTGATACACAGTACAATAAATAAGTGGCAGCAATGTTGATCAATCAGGACAAGCTTTTTCCTTATAGTACTAATTTTGTTTGCTTGAGATAAATGGGTTAGGAAACACGGGCAGAGCTACAAGTATGAAGTTCACTCTAAGCCAGCTGTATTAATAACTAGTTATAAACTAACTAAAGTCATGTAGTTATCAACCCTCTTCCTAGAGTTGTTCTTGCAGTGTTCATTTTGATTTTCATCTGCTATACCTGATCCAACTAATCAATTGAAGTAGATTTTATTCAGCTGGATCAGGTGTGTTAGATCTGGGTGAACTGAAATCTGTTCCTAGGTACATCTCCAGAAGAAGGCTCAAGGACCACTGTAGAACCTGTAGGCCGGGGTGTCCTGGAGGGCCTTAACCCTAAAGATATGAGTATTTTCTTTCTACAAATACTCATTTAATGCATGAGGCCCTTTGAAATTTACAAAGCTCTGCTGGTAACATTTCTTTTTTAACAAAAGTAATGCATGGCCACAACTTACACCTCTATAACTGCACATATACTCTAAAATGCATTTGTGTTTTGCACTTCTAGCATTTGAAGTTGATAAGTCAATACTTTATGCTGAGAGAGAGAGAGAGAGAGAGAGAGAGAGAGAGAGGAGAGAGAAATCAGGCTGAGACACTGCTATTTCAAACTGTTGGTGTTATTTCCAGGACCCAGATGCCTGGGTATATATAGCATGGGACAGCGTCTTCAAGGCAGCTCCGCACTTAGGCCAGCCGTGCAGAGCCCCTGCCAGTCCAGATACACACTTCCTGCCTGCAGAGGCCTGGACACGGTCAGCTGAAAGAGAACAGAGGGGTTTCTGACAGAGGGCACCGGAAATACTAATCAAGGTCGCAGTGCAGTTACAGGCACAGCACTGTACTTTGATAGAGAGCATTGTATTATTAAAAATAAAAAAAAAAATGGGCAAAATCATCACAGACACATGAAACTGCATCTACTTGATATGTGTCATTAGACTTCTAAGTGAATCTCATGGCATGATTTCTAACAAAATATATAACCAGAAGATAAGTACAAAACATCTAGGAGAGCTGTGTCCAACCTTATCCACAAAAGACACGTGTGTCTGCAGATTTTCATTCCAAACAAGCAGGAGCATTGTTTTCCTATTGTTTATAGCTCATTTACACTGTTTCATAAGATCATGTTTTTCTGAACTAAACCAATCTGTGTAGACAAGCGTGTGACGGGTAGGCAGTTCCCATGAAGCTAATTAATGTCTTTTGTGGTAAGGAGAGTTACATGTTTTTTTTCCCCCCTAAACTTTTCCTTTAACTCAGTGACATGACTATATGGTTGATTATGTTACTGTTCTAGTTCCAGTTTTGCAGGTCATTCTGGGAGACGAGACACTTCACAGAGCTTTTTCTCTTGCAGTCCAGCTCCCTCCAGCTTCTGCTCTTCCTCTTTTTCCTCCTCTGTCAATGCTGTGCTTCAATTATTCAGAGGCCTCTAGCAGATCACTTGAAACCCATAACCCACTTTCTATTTATACCTGACTTCAAAGGAGCACACAGTAAAATGGGGGGACCCAAGCCAACCTGGGTCCAGGCCACTGTCTACTCCCCAGGCCCAGGCTGCTGGAGGGTTCAGTCTAGACTCTCTTGCTTCGTCTCATCAGAACGGGGAAAGGGTAGACGAGGTCAAGCAGGGATGGCCACTGCAGTGGTGTTTACAATGACATCTGTTAACCACTGTAGGTCACAAAGTCTATAAATCAAAAGCTCAGGACAGCATTCGGGATGAACATGTCAGCTATTTGCGTGAGAGACTGACACCCCCCACCCCATCTGAAATAAAATTTAAGGGAAGCAGACTACACATAACTGTTTTATTTATTTATTTTGTTTAATATTAAGACAATGAAGCATAAGCCAAGAGCACCGAGAGTGACAGCTACTGGTGGGAGAGCAACACTGCTGCCCCTCTGCCCCCAAACAGCATACTGTAACCCAAAGTCAAACAAAATAATACAACAGAGCAACTTAGTAACATAGCCTGAAGTAGGGACCATTAACTGTACATAAGATAGACAGCGAGAAAGAGCGAAAGAGAGATAAAGACAGAGAAAAAAACATCGAGAACAGAAAAAGGGGTGAGTGATTACACTGTACAGTACAAACCACGGGCAGTGTAAAAAAAAAAGGATAAAAATGACAACTCAAAGATGGTGAGAAAGAGAGTGATATACTCATAGTTCAAGACAGTCCATGATGGTTCGCTGGGCAAGTGCTGCAAGGGTTTTTTTTTGGCAGTCAAATCACTAAAGTGGGGGTGGGCGGTCTTAAAAAGTCATCTTTATGATGTCCAAACCTTGTCAAGTGGTGTCACCACAGCACCCAGGCCACACCCCCACCTCCAATGCCCTCCCCTCAACTAAATGTGCATATACAGCATTAAAGTGACAGAGTTGTAACCATGGTGATGTTCATGATCCATTGCATCTCAAACAAAAGACTCACTTTTTTTTCCTTAATGTAAATATATATCAAACAAAAGTTAGACTGTAAATCTTTTAATTCACTTTTTCTGCCTAAGCATTGCTAAACTCAACCTTCCTATGCTATGTGTACAGAAACATGCCAGATAACATTGAACAGGAAACAATCTCTCCTATGGTAAGTGCGCAAGATTACTCATGAAATGGCTTAGAAAATATTCCCTTAAGTTTGTAACTGCAGTGTTGTTATATCAAAGGATAACCCTTTAATAAAGTGAAGCATATTCTGGCAAGTTTTGCTCACATGCTTGTGACCAGGAGACCATAAAAATCATACTTCCGTTTACATACAACTCAAAATCAAGTAAACAACTGGCCTCTCAAAATCGGTCACTCGGCAGCCTGAGAGAACGTAGACCTGTCCACGCAGCTTCTCTTTTCTGTGCAGGAAAGCACTGAGTCAAACATACACCAGGTGGCCTGCAAATATAAACACTAAAAACCGCACCAGGTGTGGGATGATTATTGAAAAAAAAAAAAAAGGCTAGCCTAGAACAAAATCAGCTGCTAAAATATGGATTAAGCCACAAGCCTTTTTTTCTTTATACCAATCTTTATGGCATCATTATCATTATCATCACCCCCTTTTAAACACACATACATATTCACACACGCTATTACATTTTTAAATCTTTCTTACATAACTTTTTTAGAGTTTTAACTACATAATGGGACATCTCACTTCACTTGATTGCAAGTCGTCTGACATGGGCCAGAACACTAAAGTTGAAATATCTGCAGAGACAATTCGGTAGTTTGAACATTGTTAGAAGGGAAAGGCACTTTTGAAAGTCACACCACAGAGAGCCAATCAGCACCTTTTTGGGTCTCAAACCAGGCTTCTCTGTATCTGAAATGTCTCACCTGTAAATGTTAACTGGATTCACTCAGAGAGGAAGATGTAGTAAGCCCATCACTTCTCTGGTCAATGGATTGATCTGGATCTGCTGCAGTCAAAACCAGAACCTTTGGTCACTTTAATACATACTTTCTCTCATACACATTTATGACTCTTTGTCACCAGTTCATTTGCTTTATCTTGCTTCTAGATGTAAACTGGACAATCTTCACTTCACATGTTCTTACACTATAAAGGAGAATTTTCCTCATCTAACCCACCCCTGTTGGTAGCTAAGCCAAAGGACAACGAGTTATTGCCTTTCGTTACGATTACTACTAATAAAAATATCTTATTTTAAAATCTGTATGAATACACGTTTACCCCGTACATCTCTCTACTAGTAAAACAAGGGAAGGACAGAGAGGAGGTATATCAGGGAGTCCAAGCAACACCCACACACACACACACCCCACCCTGCCATCAACCGCTGCCCTGATAAAAGTGTCAAGTTTAATAAGGCAGCATTTGGAGCAAAGCCAAGCATGATACACCTTTACAGGCAGGCAGTCAGAGGGACAGCCAAGGCCTTCTCAAAACACCACTGTTTTCAGGTGAGCTTTGGCCTGCCACCATTCCTGCTGAAGCTGAGCCAAAGGGGGAAATCATTTAGCGGGGACCCTGCGTTTCCCATATACACCAAACCTCAACGCCTGATAACTCTCCAACAGAACTCTATGGATGCAGTTTGCTGTCTGTACCCAGGCGAGACCTAGTTGGTTTTGCCAATGGGAAAATGAATGGCATTTTCAAAAAACATATATGTCCCAAAGCTTACACGTTTTTTCATATGTACATTTTTCCAATGAATCTTACTGGATTCTCCGAATTACAGGATGATTCCACAGTCAAAACACAAACACTGCTACACACGTTACATGTAAGCTAGCACTCCTGCGAGCTGAATAGATATCACTGATATCAACAATGTCAACCTAAACAAAATACCCTGTGCAAACCAGTGAGCTTTGTCAAGTGTGGTAATTAAATGGCTTTGGCAGTAGTATTCTACAATCATAGTAGCTGGTGTTATATAATAGCATTAAAGTATAGCAGGTTGTTTACTTTCACGCAACATCAATTCTATGCACAGGAGTGCTATTTTGCTTGTAGCATGTACGTAGCAATATTCGTATATTAACTTTGCCATAGTGTCGATTTCCAAAAGCACAAGGGATGCAAGGTGATAAAACAGTTTCCGCAAACATTTGCTAAAACAAAAGGCATCAGACAGATGTTTAGATTTAACAGATATTTAAAAATGATATTTGATTATGTATTAATTGCTGTCTTTACAGGCAGAACATTTAGGCGACACTGGGCAACTGTGCTAAACGGTCTGCGTTTTATACGTTTTACAGCATTTATAACCCTACAGAAATAAATGGTACATTTCTCTGCAATGCTAATCCAGATGGATCCCAATTAATACATATTATAAATGTTTATGTATTGTCATCACCAGATATACCAGAAAAATATTGAAGATGGAAATGTCCCCAGATGTTCCACCATTTTGGAACATCCCTAAAAATGCTACTTTTTCCGTAGGCAAAACCATTTCTGATCTGGAGTTCCTTATTTAGGCAAGTCGATGACTACAAAATGACGCACCTCTAACGTCTACGCCCATGACTCAACATCTGCCCTTGAGCAAAAGGAAAGCTTAATGGGATAATGTGGGAAGACGTCTTGATCATGGATGCCAGGTGGCAACGCTGTGCATGAGAAGCAGGAGGGCGTTGTTGGGGGAGCAGGGGGTGGGGGGTGCAGGAAGTGAGTTTTGGGAGTCTGACACTCGAATGATATCATACACCATGAGGAAGTCAAACTACTCCTTCTCTCTGCTGGTGTTTCATACTGTAAGCACAGGTTGTGATATATGGTAGAACTGATTTTTACAACAATTAGGTCGCTGATCATATTGAAGATACATGCATTATGCAAAACGTAATGACTTGTATAGAGCTATGAATGCACACTGCCTAGATGACGAGGTTAGGGCATTTTTAACTTTTAACATTAGATGTGAATACACAAGATTTACAATGTTTGGGTTATAAATAAAGAAAAAATAACCGCAGGTGCAGAGTGCACTCAGAGTGAGCTGCAATGAAATGCTATATTCATTCTTTTACTTCTATACGTTAAACTGTTAAAATGGGTCTGACCAGTTTGCACCTGGTGTAGGAGCCAAGCTCTGCTTTTGAGGCTGTGACACTGCAATTTAGTAGGAGTCTGTATCTGTAATGCAACTTGCACATTACTTTCGTTTCAACAACTCACATTTAACTAAGAATCAGCTAATTAAGCAAGCCCGATGCACCCAGTACGCACAATGGCTCTGATAGGGCCACCACACGACACAGTCGTCAGTCCTGCCTAGTGCAATGTTTATCAGACAAGGTGAGCTTAGAGAGTCTGGGTATGTATGTCTGTATATGAATGAATGTATGGCTAACAACAATGGTCCCAGTGTTGTAGGATTATATATTGCCTCTGCTGCTCCCACTAACATAAGCACAGTTGAGTTAAAGTGCCCTTCATCAGTGCCCTTCTCCCACGGCACTGACAGTCCATTCACAATACAAAACAAACAAACAAACAAACAAAAAAACAAAACAATTATCACCACCGCCTGTGCAATTAGTGGTAGGAATTAATGATTACAAAACATACTGATAGCAACAGAACGTTCACGCATAGAGTGTGTTTCTTGAAAACCAGGTGCACTCACATCACATGACACAAAACTGTAGCCACATTATGCATCATCGTCCATCACTTCCTGGAAGTGAAAAGAAGCAGAATGTCACAGAGCCCTTCTGCCGACAACGGGGGCCTTCCGACAGCTGTCTGGACACATAGTTCTAAATCAATCCACCTTTCACAGACCTCTCTCTCTGTTGTTCTCTGTGAATAGGGTAAAATCCTCCTTTCTGTTTCCCGCTCTTCAATGCCTGCTCCACTCCTCCCAACAGAATGTTATCTTGGGAACCACTAACAGAGCACCATGAAGGCAAAGGATTATGGGTAAACGTAACAACTTGATCAGAGCTCAACCCCCCCCCTTCCCCCCCAAAACCCACCCCCGACTTGCCCAAACTGTCCATGATATGACCTTAAAAGCTGACAATGCATTTGCGATGCATTTCAAAGTAAGTAGGGAAGTGAATGGCTGTACAAACGCACATTAGCATGTGAAAGAAAATCAACACAGTGAAAAGACTAAAACCATGTAGTCAAGCAGTGAGAGTGGAGGAGCATGACCATATCTTTTACAAGTTCACCCCAATCATCTTCTCTGAGAATATCAAAAGAAGCTGGGGGGTGAGGGGGGTGGGAAAGTGAAACTAAGGCCCCCCCACTGCTTCAGTCTAGAAGTCCAGAAGCTGTAGAGTGATGTGTCTACTGGGAGAGCCACTTTAGCTTTATGTATTTGTTGGTGCTGAGTAATAAGAAATAAAAAGAAAAAGACAGAAGCTTATATATTGTGTTCAGGTTCAGGCCCCCTTTGCTCCCTCCCACAATTCCCCATCTCTTGTCCTAAAAGCCTTTCCCCACAAAAGATCTTAAATCCTCCAACTCTAGAAAGTGCTGAATGGACTAGTCTTCCGAGAGACTCCCCTGACCCCTGCTGCTTGGTACACAGTGTAAGCCCCTCCCCACACCTAAACCCCATTCTTAGTCTAGCAGGAGTAGAGTTCTAGGTCAGCTCCCTCTCACTTGGCCTTGAGCGGTTCTCGCTCCAGCCAGCGCACGCGTACCCTCTGCTTATAGTGATACTCCCTGAGGTAGTCTTGCAGTGTTGGCGGTAGAGGCAGTGCTGCAATGCCGTCGTAGGTGGTCCCACGGCAGATAACAGCCCGAGCCAGACTCTGCAGGCCAAACGGAAAGGTCCGGTGGAGAGGTGAAGTGAGCAGGGGCTCGAAGAACATGCAGGCACTGGGGTCCTTGTAGTGCTCCAGCAGTGCCGTGACCGTGGCTGCATGGAACACGCAGGGGTCATGGGCATCGAAGCTGAAGTTGTGGTTCCACTGCTCGATCCGTGCATGCAGCGAGCGACCATAGCGACGGAAGCTAACAGAGAATAGGTAGTCTTCCTGGGCCGAATCACGCAGCAGGAAGGTGCCCTCAGGCCGGCCGTCCAGCAGCGCCTCGGCCTCATAACGGTCCATCACTCCCCAGTAACACGGCAGCGCCGTGATCTGCAGCAGGTCCGGCACCAGGCAGTGTATGTAGTCAATCTGCGTATGCACCTTCCACGGTCCTGGGTGCTTGCTGCCTAGGTGGCCCTCCACCGAGATATGGCGCTGCTTGGGCCGGCGGGCCTGCAGGCAAAGGGTGGTGGCATCATCGTCTTCAGAGTCGCAGTCAGCTGCTGCAGCTCCCCGGCTCTCACTCAGGGCCTCCCCCATCCCGGGGGCCAATTTGGGTCCCAGCTTGTAGATGGAGGCCAAGGGTGCTGTGACAGCCTCCACCGTGTGTATCTGGGCGTCAGGTGGTGGGTCCACGCCCTCTTCTATACTGAGCCTTCGTCGCTCACGCAGCCGCTCCTCCTCATCCTCCGGAGAAGCACGTGCAGCATCAGGACCTTCCGTGGAGCAGTCGACTGTCGTGGCTGTAACAGGAGCTGTATGCTGTTTGATTAGATGCCATTTTCGGGCAAGGTCTGAGCCAGGCGGGAAGGGGCATGTCTCCAGCATCAGCTCAGTGATCTGGATCTTGCGCTTGGGTGGCCGTGAGTGGGTGCTGCGTGACGAAGAGCGCAGAGGGAGGCACAGGCCCATCGTATCATGGAAATTGCTGCCGCAGGGAGCGTGGTGCCCCTGGCTCCAGCTCCTCCCTGCTGCTGCTACTTGTTCCATGCCTACGACGGGAGCGGCCACTCCGCCTTTCGGTGGTCTCCAGGGAGCTCTGTGCCTTGGTGGAGCATGAGTGCCTCTTCTTGCCACTCCAGGGAGCGTGACGCGAATAAGAGTCTCTGCGGGCACCAAGAGGGGCACGCCCATCCTCGGTGTCCTGCTCAACTGTGATCTCTAATATCTGGGGCACATCCGCCACACAGTTATGACCCCGGCGTGCCACGCTGCCATTAACCCTTTGCGATACCAAAGGGAGTGCTGACCTGTTGCGAGAAGGGCTGGGTTGTTCTGGTGTGATCTCTCGCTGGACCTGGTCCACATTCTGACAAAATGTATCTAGCTGTGTCTGCGGTTGCACTTCCCCATGGGAACCTCCATCTGGGTGGAGCAGAGACTGACATCCCCTCTTCAGGTTGCTCCACACCTTGCCTACCTTCTCCATGTGGTGGGGGCACCTGTACCTGAAACAGGAGACAGCACATTATTGTCTGAGCATTTATCAGAGCACAAACGACTGTGCCTGCAAGTCAAGCCTAGAGAGAAAACGCACATAAACTGCTGAATGATTGGTGTTAGGGATTGTAGAAGAGCAACTCTGTTAAGTGACTGAGTGATTAAAGTGTTGCCAGGCAGACTCGCAAGGACTCAAGGCCAGCGCTAAAAATGAACTCATGGATACGCTCCCAGCTCCCAGACCTGCTGCCATGGGCTGAGTTACAATGCCAGTCTGGGCCTGTCTCTCTCTGACCACTCAAAGCACAGTAGCTAATATTCAGCAATTCTACATCTAAATTTAATTGAATATGACTCCAAAAGAGTAATGCTAGCAAATGCAACTTTTCTCACAAGTATCTCTGCTGGATTAAAGAGGTTTCTCGACAGGTCTTGCTTGCTGTTCAAGTCTCCAAGTGGGAATAATTTATGTGTGTCAGGTAATCCCTTCTGCATTCGGAATGCACCACCAACCTTCTTTGGCTCTTCACGGTAAACTAGTCATTATATGAGTCAGCAAGAAATAAAGTTGCCCTGCCATTGAGTGATCTCCCATAAGGTGAAGCCTGAGCCTTAGTACTCCTAGTGCCACTCATAAGTGGCTTCTTTATTGAGCATCTGTACTCTGGCTGACCTTTCTCTTTCCAAAGGATGAACTTTTCTCTGGTTCAGACATCAAGCAACCACCTAAATTCAAATTCAGGTCTTCTCACAAAACCTCCGTAACTAACAATTTATAATAATATAAAACATAATCCAATTATAGTGTGTCTCGCACAACATCTACAGAAGTGGCTATACATCTTAGTAGCCCCCTTTTACAATGTTCTTCAATTGTTAGGACACCCACAGGACCACCACAGAGCAAGTATTATTTGGGTGGTAGATCATTCCCAGCACTGCAGTGACACTGACGTGGTGGTGGTGGTGTGTTAGTGTGTGTTGCACTGGTACAAGCAGATCAGCAACAACACCTCAGTGTCACAGCAACAACACCTCAGTGTCACTGCAGGACTGAGAATAGTCCACCAACCAAAATATCCAGCCGATAGCATCCTGTTATCACTTATAAGAGACTAGAGGATGACCAACACAAACTGTGCAGAAACAGATAATGTCTCTGACTTTACTGCTATAAAATGGACCAACAGTGCAGGATTATTTTATAGGGTGGACAGTGATTGGACACAGTGTTTAAAAACTCCAGCAGCACTGCTAACAAAGTATGCAGAGAAACAGATGGACTATGGTCTGTAAATGCAGAACTACAGAGTGCACCTATATGGTAAGAGGAGCTGATAAAATGGAAAATGAGAGGAGAAACAAGAAAGTTGCCAGTTGGGTTATAATGCTTTAGCAATATATTCCACGATGAAGGTACACCTAAACAAGCACACCACCAAATCATTTTCATGAATGTCTGAGGATGATACGTTATAATTAACACACATCTTAGCACAAGAACTAAAAAACTCTAAACTCTTAATCTCTAGTTCTAGAGCATATTGACATAATACTAGGTAATACCAGCTAAGTTCTTCATATTGTTTAACTTTCCCTGCTGAACCTAACTGAGTTAAGCTTGTAATTTGCGTAAAGTTCTAACCAGTTCTCCCCACAATTCTTTGCACATTTTTTTTTCACTACTCCCTATTAAACATATGTAGGAATGGAAACTCAGATAATGATATTGCTGTCCAGAGCACACTGAAATTGGCCTAAGCTTTGAAAGCCTGTAGCTCCTTCCAACATTACTGTTGATCTCCTTCCCTCCATTAGGCTCCTATCACATCTGAGCAAGGTAGCCAAGGCTATAACAGTTATTACCTGGCTCATGTATGCTGGGACTTGGAAAAAAAGAAAAGTATAGACTGGTTGCTGTTGTTTCAATTGGAAATGTTTGTTCTAATGGTTAGTCAACTGAGTAAACATCCTCACTGCTCAATCACAAATATGCTGTACAACCAAAGCAATTCAGGGGAAATAAAGATTTTTGTAGCAGTTCTATGTGTGGTAACTTAGAACAAAACAGCAGTGGACCACTTGCATCAGCTATACTTAGCTTTCCTTGTCTCCCCTGCCCCCCTCTTACAAGGAGAATACATAGACCGGCTATAAATCAAAGCTCAGATATTGCTGTGTAGTTATGATGACAACCTGCTTGGGGGCCAATGAGCTTGTCTTTTCTCCTAACTCAACAACCTTACATCAATTCACACTAAACCCTCACAGCTGAACAATGTTGGGGGCTGAATGCATGTGCACATAATAGAGAGATCTGTCAGTGGGGTCAGCTATGTGTAGGCCTCTCATGTAACATGTGTACAGTTAAATTTGAACACAAACTGGTCTTTGACTATATAGTGCCTTGAGTTCCCAGATTAAATCTGGACATCTGAACATGCTGAATGAATAAAGCAACACTAATTAAATTACCTTGAAATTACTTTGTCCAGACCATGTAATGTCCTGCTACAAAAATGCAATTAGTCCTATTAAAGCACCAACAAAAAAATTATCTAGCTTTCTGCATTAAACTTCTTTCAGAGGGATTTCAACTTGTACCTCAAGAGTGCAGTATGTTTTCGTCCATAGAGTTGACACACATGGTTCAAGTAGTCAATATTCTAAGCTTAAAAAGAAGATGGTGAATTGACAGGATGGCCCCAAGAACAAGAATGAGAATGGGTTTGGGACACTGGTAGGGTTTTAAAAAGTAAGACACACAGGGTATTCAAAGGAAATACTGTCCTCTGCTAGCCAGCACAAGAAGCACACTGCAATGAATGTGTGTGAATCTTGCAGTGCACTCTGACCATTATGGTTTCTCAGGTTAAACCTATTCTAACTCCAGCCAAAGCAGTGTCATCATGGACTGTCTGAGAATAAAAAAGGCCTTTTACATTGACCTCAGTCCCCATGGGATGATGCTTCAACAAGCAAAGCATAAATCTGAACACAACATAAATCTCTAAGCACAGTCTTCATTAATCCACAGGCATAGCAAAATCAATAATCTACAACACATTCAATGTTACTAAATGTGTAACAGCATCAAAACCAGAAAAACAATGTCAGATATTGGCATATCGTCAATATATCCCTCGGCCTCTCAGTTTCCTCGACAACAGGCCAGAGGGTCTCACTTTGAATTTGAATTAAAAATTAAAGCAATGAAAGTCACAGTGTAAAGTATTTTTAAAAATGATTGCATGATACTAAATTTGCACGTTATACTGAACATTCCTGAAAGTTTGAAAAAACATAGACATGTGAGAACTGTCTCGGCATGGTCATACGCCACTTGACTGACATCCTTCAGTCCAAAACTGTACACCCGCTACACCACTGAGGAAGAGCTAAACACAATAAATTTAATGATAAGAAAGAAAAAAACAAACACATTTTTCACAATTTTTTAGTTTTCTGCATTATTTTAGCTCAGTAGCTGTCCTTTACATTGTGTGAATAATTCATGATGATTGGACCAGTAGAACTGCCCCAAAATTGCTTTGAATACATTATTTACATTAAAAATGTTTTCTGTCCTCTTCTGTAAAGTTACCATTTTAAAGATACTTGTTTTTCTTCGGACAGCGACAATACGCAGGTCATGTTGTGGACTACGATGCAGAGTTCAAGACTCTCTATAAATATTATCCAGCTTTTACATGGCAGCGTCTTAAAGAAGCAAAGGAGCTTATTGACCATACTGCTGGATGTAGGTCCAGGAAATGCTGGCATGGCCATGTTGAATGACCGACTAGGCAAAAGAATGAACAGATGAAAGAATGAACAGACGAAAAGATGGAGAGATGAACGAAAAAATAAATGGACAGCAAACTAACAAACAAATGAACAGACAACAGGCAGACAGATGGGATAGCTTGCTACCTCAGTTATGTTTTCTAGGGTAGCTTTTGATCATCAACTGGCACTTTTTACTGGTAAGTTTTTCCGGCTCAGAGAGAGGCCACGCACGACACGAAATTTATTCACAGAACATACTTTGAACTTATAGATTGCGTACATATTGTGTGGCCACTAGAGCATGAAAAACCTACTTACAAAACAGACTTTGGTGTGCTGAGGCTTTACAGCTTAGTGTCAGACTCAACATAGTTTTATATGCACATTTTAACTGGGCTTTAGCTTGCTGTGTTAAATCTTTTCAGGAGGAGTTCAATCTGAGTCACATGACTGCAGCATCCATACATTTGTCCATAGTTTTGACACCCCTATGTCAAGTAATTAGAGTTCTGAGCTTGGTGGGATGGACCAAAGAACAAAGAAAATCCAGGGTTAAACTACATGTGGGTTTAGGACATTGTTGAAGTTAATGTTTTAACTTTGGTGGCATTTGAAAATGGAAACAAGCAGTATAAGGTTTTACATAAGGCAGTTCAGGATTTTTGTATTGTTTATAGCTCCGAAGCACTTTTATTTTAAATTAGCCAAAGCAGTATACGTAGTTTATAACATTTCTAATACAATATATTCAAAATGTAATTAAATTTTGAGTTGAAAAATGTATCAAACCTGAAAATGTTTTATCATTACATCCCTAAATGCTACCAAATGTGTTACAGAGGAGGCTTAGGACTGGTTGTATGGTTCCCTTGCTTGGCTGGGAGACAAGACCAAACCCCTAGAACAAACAAACAAAACATATTTGGCCTAAAAATGGCGTGGGACAACAATCTGGTAAAGGCTGACCCTCTGCTCCAAACACTGAGGAATTTCACATCATTTCAGGCTGTATGTATGCATTTAGCAGCTCACCCACAGGTCACTGTTAAAGTGCTTGTCAGCGCTCTCTCAAAAGTAAAATACTGAACCCAAATATAACGACGTTCATCGTAATAAATGTAGGCTATGCTTCACTGTCCTATATACTCTCCAGAGTTAGAAAGACAATGAAGATCAGAAGGACAGGGACTGGCTATGCTGTCGCTGAGGGACAATAAGC